CAGAAAAAAAACATAAGTAGGTGAACCTTTAAGGAAGTGAAGCACCACAGTTCAGCCCTTGTGGAAGAACAGAATTGAACCTTGTTGGCTCAAAGCCAGCTGTGGGACACAAGGAGTTCTCTCTCTGTCATGTCCTCTCAAAACATGGCTCAATCCTGCTATTTGCTTCGTGCCCTCCAAGGCCCTAGGGACTAGTGGTTGCAGTCTGTACCAGCCACAGAACCAGCCCTGGTAGCACGAAGGCTGAATCATGTCCATCAGCCATTGACCTCACTTCTCTCCTGATCGGACCTGGGCAAGGTCTGCCAGTCAAGCACATGTCATAGACTTCTGTTCTCGAGAAGAGTTATGTCAAAGTGAAGTCTTCAGTATATGACCTAAATTCAACACAATAGGATGCAGAAGTGCACAAATAGGTCTCAAACACTCTGCCCTGTACCAAGCACATCTACATTTTTACAGCTAAATCTCACTGAGCTTTTTTTGGTACAGGCTACATGAGAGTACAAATTTGGGGTTTTGCGGCTTTTCCCCCTTGATTTTCTTTGTAACTCAGAGTTTTACCTTCAACAGTTGCAGAATCACAGTGCATCAGGCTGGAAGGACCATTCTGAGGTCATGTATGTGTTCACAGGTAGTCCCACCAGCTCAGCATTTTTAAGAGACCGTTATCTTTCATGGACAGATTTACCACAAAGCTTTGGCTGCAGGCGAAAACAGCCAAAGCATATGGAGCAGCTATTCTGAGTTTAGAGCTGCTTTGCTTTTCCAGAGCAATGCAAAACAGCTAGACAGCACACAGGGTTCCCTTTCGTATTCCACTCGTCCTCCAGATGTCCGCTATTTCCCTGAACATACCCCCTACGTGACGTGTGTGCACCCGTACACACTACCTCCTTCTCCTCTTCCTTGCCCCACTTCGCATCCTCGAACATCTCACATTACTCCCCTGCTCTCCCAGCCTACACCTCAGCTGGCTCGGGTCCAGGAGCATCATCTCTGCCAGTGACATTTGGAATTCATGGAGGTCTCTTGCCCTCATAAGGACTTGCCCTTTTCCATAATGACCTCCATGTGCTGTCATGGTAAGCAACTGTCCAGGAGGATGGGAGTTTCTTAAACTGCGGGGAGCTGGAGACGTTGCTGCATACTTTAGGCATCCAACAAGACTTCATAGTTGAGGAAAAGGTCACACTGAATGTCTACCCACAGCATGTCAATTGGAAGCCTAATTACTGCAGAATTCAGGTGCTCAGAACAGCTTTCCAAAAGTACCTCCTTCCCCCATCCATCGTGTGCCAAAGAAAAGTGCCCGGCAACTGAATACTGCTCCAGCACCACTGACAAGGGGGAGAAGGGCCTCTCTTTGACATGACCACACAAGACGCTGTGGGGGCCATGGGTGATGGGGAGCAAGGGAGGGATAGGAAGGGATTCCCTGTGGATTTTACTGCACTGGAGAGTTTTAGTTTTCATCCTCCTCAGAAGCTGATGTTTACTAAGAAGGAAGAAAATTACACTAATGCCAGAAGGATGCTATTCAAATATATTGCAGATGCAGGCTTCTCAGGAGCTTTAGCTACACAGGAAGTTGGAGTAATCTGTGTTATCAGGTGCTAATCATATCAAATCAGACAAAATCTGATGCTGGGTGCTAAGTTTCGTAAGGGACCTGCAAATTATGCTTTTCTTACTGCTGCCTCCTAAATGGCCAGATTTCCTTATAAACACTTAAAAACTTCATTCTGTGCTCCAGGGGTTAGTGCTTCACTTTTACAGAAGACTTTTTTTTTCTTTTTAACTGTATTTTTCATCATAAGCCATCTGAATCTCTCTTATAATTGAAAAACCTCAACTTATCCATAACAGCTGAGTCATTACCAACACAGTGCTGTAATATTTTTATTATTTTCTGTATCCCTCTATGAAAGCAATCTGGCAGTATGTTGGGTTTTTTTTCCTCACCACTGTACATTAACCAGATGGTTTTTGCTCTATTGTCCACAGATACACCCACATAGTCTTTTTGCCTTCATGCTTCCAGTTAATTTAGAAATCACTAGTGATTATGAAGCATTGAAGTCGTTCCTTCCAATATGTTTTACCTTCTCCTTGACCATGCTTAATTTCTTCTCCCATCATGCTGCCCAATTAATTAGGTTTGGCTGATCCCTCTGAAGCTTCCCTCTTGTCTCTAGATTTCACTAATCTGATCATTTTTAATAGCTGCAAATATAACTTTAATCTGTTCAGTGCTCCCTCCAGTCATCATAAATAAGTACTTCAAATCACTCCACTTGCCAGCATAAGGTGCATCAAGTGCCTCTGACAAGCAGGTCCTGCCTGATGTTCTCTGGTCCCGCTGGTGCAGTCACCTGAGCAGCAGTGACCAGTCATCTCAAGTGGGGTTTGCTTCCCTTTCATTGTGTCTCCACTCTCTGCTTCTGTTTCTTTGAGAATGCTCTGCAGCTGATCCCTCACCTTTGCAGAGGCCTTCCAGTTATTGGGTGTTTTAGTAGTGTCTGTCCCTTTCTGGCACGAAATTTTTTATCTCAGCTCTACACTTGTGATTGTTTGGCAGGAGTTCAGGCTTTTAGTCTTGGGTGATCTGGGGGTTTTTTTGGCTGTCAATAAAGTAATGTTACCAAATTTGTCATGGCATATTTATCTGTTGCTATGTCTGTAGTTAAATGAAGCATGTGAAGCTCAGGACGTATTGGCAGGCAGATTTTAATGTTTGAGAGAACATAATCAAAAACAAAACCCCGCCTTCCCACGCCAGGCAGGCCTGAAACACAAGTATAGCCTTTTCCTCCTGTATTTTATGTCTCTGGAACATTTTTTCTAATTATTTTTTGAAGAGGGGCATCATTTGGCTGGTATAACAAGTCCAGTGGGATAGCACATCAGCTAATATTTAATGTAATGAGATCTCATTTCCTTCTGCTGGATGGGTTCTCACCAGACTCTCCCTTGCAGCTGAGAGCAAAGGGCCATTTTGATATCCATTTTCATTTCATTCATCCCAGTGGATGCATAAATACAACAAGAAGTTTCAGTGGAAGGGGAAGCTCTGTGCATTTTGCTACACTCCCTTCAGAGTCTGTCCCTTTTCCTTTTCTGGGCAGGAAAGTTTCCAACTGGCAGCTTATCCTCAGTGCCCCAGAGGTGTTTTATCTCTGACTGACTCTTCTAGATCATACAGCCTTTTGCCTTATGTCACCTTCCAGGTACACTGCCTGTCTCTAATCTGGACTAAATGGCTGTGGTTATAAAAGCAAAGCCCCAAACCATATTGCTTAGGCTCGTTTTCACCATACCTCGATAAGCACTAGCATGTACATGCATGCATACAATCTATGCATGCATACATTTATCTCCAAGCCACTCGAGGTTGAGAGACCTTGATTTGGGATGCTAATGTTGCCTTATCATTGTTAAAGCAGGAGAAACAGTGCTGCAGCTCTGCTGCTAAGCAGTATATCTGTAAAAGTTGGTGAGGGCTAAATCCCCTGCCCTGACAGACAATCTCAGTGCCTGCACATTAATCCAGAGATATGTGTGGCTCTGGCGAAGGATGGAACAGCTGCCCCAGGCTGACAGGAGCTGGCCAGGACTGTGCAGGGGCAGCTGTGGTGGAGATGACCACAGCTGGTGGTCACCAGTGCTGCCTCTGTGAGCTATTCTTCCTGATTGCCTGCTTGCCTTCTGCTTGGCACCTTGGCCTGGGGTAAACCTAAGGCAGCTCTCTGGACCTTGGCAAGCCATGGATGAAGATGCTTCATCCAGCAACTGAGTTTTTCTTTCAGGCTCCCCCATGACACAGAGAGAAGGGTTTTGAGCCCATGTCTTGCTTCCCTTCACCTCAACAGCCCCTCCAAGATGCTGTCCATGTGGAATATGGCCTCTCTGTTTGCCTTTAATTACCACACGTTGGCTGGACAGGGCTTTATGGGATCTCATAACTGAGGCAAAAAACAGACCGGGAAGCAAGCAGCCAGTGGTGACCACGTTCCCAGGAGCTCCCAGGGACGTGAGCAGGACCCTTATGGGGACTTTCACTACGGGAAGGTGGTTGCCACCAAACCTCTTTTTTCCCACCCATGCAACAGCAAGTCCCACTGCCTCCTCTGTTTCCTTACAGGGCTGCAGCTCCCCCCCACATCCACACAACATCCTGAGTTGTGCATGGTCAGGAATTTGCTTCACACTCACTGGGACTTTGGCTAAGTTGGAGTCATCAGAGCTGGAAGAACCACTACTAGTCATCTGCTCTGTCCCTCTGTCCCAAGTCACATGCTGAGGCCACTTCCAAAGTATGCATATGATATGGACTGACAGATCTCAGATGGGTAGAGTTGCCAAACCTCCTTTGCTGCATCCCAAGCCCTTTCCTGTCTGTCCCACTGCCTAGGGACATGGGGGCAGACTATTCCCTTCTTAGACTCCCCCCAAACTCTGTTGGCTGTGTCTAGCCAACAGGGACATGTTTTCCCTGAGGATCGCTCTGTTCATAGCAGCAGCTCTGTGGTCTGGCTGATATGCTGGAAGACAGCTTCCCTGCTGAGGCCCCCATCCTGGGGCTGGCATTCTGGGCTCAAATCCTTCCCAGGCCTGTTGGGGGATGTGGGACACAGATTGCCCTCAGGGAGGGAAAGTTGGCCACCTGTCACTGCTAATCTGATGAACACAGGCATTTCAGTAATGTCATTAGCCCAGGTAATCCAGCCCCTTAAACTCTGCAGAAGGATCTGTGCTGCTACTGGAAAGATGTGCAGCTGAGAACTGAAGCACAAGGAAGGCTGCCCTTGCCTTCCCTAGCCAGAGCCTCCAGCTCCTCTGGGAATGGGACCTTGAGACCCAACTGCCCTGGTACATACTCCATCAGCTGTCAGTTCAGCACCTGGAAGAAGCTGGGAGGTGTTAGAAACAAGCCTGGACCTTCAGAAAGGCACACTGCGCTGAGAAGCCACAGTGTGGTCCCAAGGGAGCCCCAGTGTGGGCTGCAAAGGGTGACTGTTGGGTAGTATGGATGGTGGACACGACTGGCTCTGGGTCTGGTGGTCATGGTCTGCTCCTGGCAAAGCAGCACCAGGGATGGGTGAAGGCAGGCAGCTCTCTGCCCACCCTTAAGCAGGTCGCCCTTGGCTGGACCAGGCTTCAGCTGCGTGTGTATCTGCAAACAGTCGTTTCGGTGCTGGGTGCTCCTGAGGTAGGGGGAGCCGCTGGGGGGGCACCTAGGGAGTTTAGGAATAGCAGGGCATCAGTGCAGGGCTGAGGGAGCGGCCGGATGGTGAGGAAGCAGCACGGGTTACCCGGGACATAACCTGGCAGGGGGGGGGGGGGGGGGGGGGGGGGGGGGGGGGGGGGGGCGAGTACCGGAAGAATGGGGTGTTGACTCTTGCTGTGCTGGTGCAAATCCGGATTAACTCCACTCACTGGAGCGATGCCCAGATGTACGTGAGGCAAATCAACCCTTCACCCTCGTCCTTAAGGATCAGGGCAGAAAAATACCTGTCTGAGCCAGCAAACGAGCTGGCTGTCCCTGGGGTGCAGCCCCCAGGTCGGGCTGCCTGACCCCTCAGCACCGGCTCGGGCAGCGAGAAACCTCCTTTATCCTTTTCCTTTAAACTCTGCTCGCTGGCACTGGGTCTTTCCCTTGCTGGGGGAGTGGGAAGGGCTGTGCCCTGGGAAATGCAGCGAGCATAAGAGAAAGCAGAGAGTTTCTGCCGTGCCACATGAAGCAGCAGGAGAAGCAGTCACGTCGGGAGCAGCGGCACGGCTCCAGGTAGCCAGCCCTCGAGCCGCCGATCGCACCAGCGGGCGAGCGCGGCTCTGCGGGCGCGGAGGGGAAGCGCGGTCCGGCCGCAGCCCGAGCGCGGCGCCGCTCGCCGCCGGCACCCGCTCGGTGCCTCCGCGCTGCCGCACCCCGGCACTGGCCGGGGCTCCGCCGCTCCCGCCGCACCCCCGGCCGCGGCCGGGCCGCCACAGGGCCGCCGGGCGCCCACCCGGCCACAGGCCGCGGCGGGGCCGCCGAGCCGCTGCCGGCCGCCGTGATGCCAGCCGCCGCCGCTCCACTTCTGCCGCCCGTGCTCCAACTTGGCGGGTGAGCCCTTCCTCGACACGCAGGTAAGGACCCGCGCACAGCGCTCGTGTCGGGGCACCCCCGCTGACGCCCGGGCGGTCGGCATTCCCAGGGGGTCCGGGAGCTCGTCCCCAGCGGCCCCAGGCTGCTCCAGTGCGATGGCAGCACGTCCCCACGGAAAGGCAGCCCCGCGCCGAGCTCGAGTTGGCCCCAAGAAGGTCAGAAAATATGTTGGGGTGTAAAGATGAAAGGCTGTAACCTGGAAAAACCAGGACAAATTACCTGGTCAGAGGCTCTGCGGTGGGCAAAATGTAAGGATTTCGGCCAAAGTTTTGGAGGCCAGATATGTCAGGGCAACTGCAATGGCACCGTGTATCCAGCCAGCCATCGGGACTCTGTCCCCGGGCGGCAGCTCAGCCGCCGGTTGAAGTTTGGGGGTTGTTTTCCTTCTGATGAGAAGCCTCAGGAGCTGTCGGGAGCCACCCCACTGCCGGCCATCCCTGGGATGCAGCCGGGAAAAGAAACAGTCCAGGGACCTTGGTCGAGAGGGCTATTGCCGGTGCCATGACTTACGCCAATGAAATGACCCTGCTGCTCCCCTGATGGTGCTGCTGCTCCCCTGAGCAGCACCATCTCCCTGTAGCCCTGCGGATGACCTCCCAGCTTGTATCTGTGGGGAAAAGCCACTCATTCAGGAGTTTCAACGAGAAGCACTTTCTGTCTCTACCCAGTGCCTGTTTATAATTCCTTCTCTAAAGCTGCTGCGGGTTTCACAAAAGCCATGCTGCTCTCCCCAAACCCACTTTACTGGGCTGCTTGCTTTTCTTCTGAAAAAGATAAATTCCCTTTTCATGAGCTTGGGATCTGCCACCAGTAAAAACCTTTTTCCCAGGAGGAAAGTAGCACTATATAAATACCAGGGATAACCAGAGGAGTGGGGTCTGAGCCTGCCTGCCACGTACAAGCAAAAAAAAAGCTTTTGTCTCTGGGGGATAGTTGCTGGTTACTTTGTAGGCTGTCAGGAGAAGGAATTACCCAAGCCAAAATGCAGTGACTGCATTTCTCTGGCAAAAGTTTCTTATGTCATAAAAATGGCTGGCAGAGTTAAAGCTTTGGGGAGCTGAATCCACTTCACTTTGTCTCCCTGAACCACCATCAGAGACAGGTAATAAATACCATTATTAAAGAATGAGTAATTTGCTGCAGTTCGAGCATGGTGAATTTGTACAGCAGATCCCTGCTTTTGCATGATACCTAACCCCTCCCTGCCCTCAGCCCAGTCTGCAGATAGCACCATCACTTGCAGAGAGGTGACCAAGCTCTCAGCAAAAATGTGCCAATTAAAATGCCCCTCTGCCACCTACAAGCTCCCTGGAGCAAGCTCCCTGGAGCAAGCCTCGAAGCTCCTGCCTGGCCCAGGAGCTTGTGGCAGAGCAGTCTGTGGGCCCCTGGCATGGGCATGGGCACTTCTGGCCTTTTTGGTTTGTCTGCCTCCTTCACAGCCCCTCTGCATGTGTTGTGATGTATTCACACCTTCCCCAGAGCATCTTCGACCTCAGCAAGTATCCCGAAGATCTGCTCTTCCTGTCCTCCTTTTTTCTGCCTAATTTCTAAAGCCCTGTACCTGAGCCCAGGGGCTGGCAGGTAACACTCACAGGAGCTGCAGCTCTACTGCTGCTTTCAGGGCAGTAATTTCAGGCAAGGTCTTCAGGCAGTATTTCTCTATTTGTAAGATTAGGGATGGGCAAATGATTGACTTTTCTGAGTGAAGGGCCAAGCCACATCATTAGAGAGGGGAAAAAACATTCATTATAGGTTTCCTCCAAATTGTCTTTCTGTTGCTATTTCTCTGACAAGTGAAAAAGGCAGCAAAGCACACCAAATGCTTTGCTCAGCCTGGAAGGGAAGGCTACAATGATCCCCAGTGTTTTCGTGGTGCATGACTTAAACCAGCTTCCTTTCGGAGTGAAACACTTCAGGTATCTTTTGAAAACTGGAGTTGTCTCCAGACTATATGACTGGAAACTCAACAGTTGGTATGAAAGATTGGCCCAAGGCACATGTGCACTGACTTGGAGATTTTATGCCACATGCAATAGCCACACTGGTGCTGCCTTGAGCTGGGCAGAGATTTCTCTGCAAATCCTTCCATCTCTCCGGAACCTCCAGAGGAGGGCGAGAGGGTGTTGCTGGGGCTTGTCCCCACACAGCAGGGACGTGCTGGGAGGGAAACACCATGATCAGGTTGCCCTCACTTAGCCCGCTAAGACCAACAATGCAGCTCACCCAGAGCAGAGCTGCCTCTTTCACACTATGACTCTGTATGGGTGCAAGCAGCAGCCTGAGTCCTGTCCCAGGGAGGTGGTGACATGGGCTGGGAAGAGAAATGGGCCAGGAAGAAAGGGAAAGCATCTATACAGCAATTGGAGTAGCTCAGAGGCCCCCTCAGCAAGGCAACTTAACAATGTTATGGAAAAGGAGATGTGACATTGTTTTGCAACATCTCTTTCCACACTATATAGAAGAAAATTTAGCCCTGCATGATTCTGGGCTCTGGTACTGCAGGATGAGCAAGGGTTGTGGGATGGCTGAGGGCAGCTGCGGCCTTTCCTCTCACCATATTCCTGACAACCGAATAAATCAGTGTGAACTGCCCCTCCTCAAACACAAAGGGCACATCTTCACTTGAGTATTCTTTGGTAATAACAAATATGAAAGAGGCTCTAAACATTTGGTTTGGGTTGCACCTTTTGACCTGAGTAATAATTTAACTCCTCAGAAGTTTGTCTGAGTCTGCAGATGTTGGCCAGATGGGAAGACAGCAATTCACTTATTTTCTGGACCAGGAGATCAGCTTACTGCTGATAAATACACACTGTGTTTGGAAACTTAGGGTTTGAAAAATAAGCTGCAAAGGTGTCATCTCCACAGCATAAGTTCATTTTTAAAGAGAGAGCAGATCACTGGCAAATGAATTAAACATCTGAACTACAGAGGAGCCTTGTGAATCCCCTGGAAAATCAGAATGCAGTAAGCAAGGTGGAAATAGCCCTGAGTTTAAGGCAGGCAGACGTGGATAAAACAAACAGGGCAGTGGGGAAAGGAGGCTGCCGGCATGTGCTAGCCCTCAGGGTGATAATGAATCATTTGAGTATGGGTATGTTTTAAACAGAGACAAATGAGCAGTCCTTAACAGACGTTTTGCATTGCCAGCTTCGATTGACAGGAGGGGGATTTTCAAGAAGATGTGAGGATGAAGTTTGGTGCTGCAGCTAAGCCGCTCTATCAGCAAGCTGCAGCTGTGAAGGGGAGGACATCTCTGTGTCCCCCCCCGACACCTTTTGCCAACGAAGCGCTACATCCCTGTCCCCATTTTGGTCTCAGATGGTGCAGGTCTCTCACCTGGAAGAAAGCCAGGTCCTATCTGCCTGACCACTTCTGTGCTGGGTGACAGGACATGGCAAGGAGAGCATCCCTGGAGTGCAGACCCCAGGCACGGCCCTGGGGCAGGCTGGGCTGCAGAGCTGAGGGGAGCAGGGATGGTCCTGGAGAGGAGCACGCGGCACAGGTCTGCACCAGAGCAGAGTATCACTGCTTTCAAAGTGGTCTGTGGGAATGAAGCAGTGGGGAGGATGGATGCAGGGTCCCACAGTAGCAGCAGCCATAAATGCCCTGCAGGACTTGACAGGCAGAAGAAGAGCCTTGAAGTGGAGATGATGGGACTGCAGCAAAGGGTATGGGTGAAAATGCCTCATGGGAGAAGAGCATGGAACCATTTAGGATAACCACTGTGTTCAGTTCAATACTGGGTATAAATAGTGATGGAGAAAACCTGATGTGAAATTGAGGACTTTAACCATTAGCACAGGAAAATCAGCCACGAGCAAAATTACTATCCGTCAGCAAGAGCTTCTGTGCATCTTTCAGCAGCAGAGAGAATGTCCTGGTAATAAACACATCTCGAGGGACCTCTGTGAGCACTCCAGTGGGATGCTTCGTGTCCCTTTGGGCACCCCAAGCAGGGAGCCTGCTCTTAGGTGAGGGATGGGGTTGCCTCTATGCTGGAAGCATTGCAGCCCAGGTGTCAGTTAGTTTGGCTCTCAGTAGCTCTACATGCATGGATGGTT